TAAGAAAGTCTGAGTTTTGGCTGACACAAAAACACCACAGAAAAAAAAGCACAACTTCTGTTCTTAATACACCATGTGGGTGGATATCTACAGTATGAAGGACAAAAGGAACATTGTTTAGAGATTAATGACCTCTATATACGCCTGGATTTTAACTTATATCTCACATTTTCTATAAAATTGAAGAATGGAGACTTTAGTTCAAACTATGTTTGGTAACACTTTATAATACAGCCCATGATTAAGAGTTTACTTTTATTTTGTGTATCAGTTACCAATAATATACTTCCTTAGGTTCCTGCTGGTGCTTAAGTGTAGGTACAGTAGAAGAAAGACTATGGGGAGGCACAAGGCAGAAACAACTGGGTGTTTTAGAGGATCAGTAGGAACCATATTTTATCGGTATCAGATCCATACAACAAAATGACATCCCATTTCAGTCAAATCCTGCATGTTTTGTTGTCCAAATGCAAAGAGAATACAATAATTGATCATTGTGAACACAGCTGAGAAATGATGATAGTCAGTGTCAACATGCTGGAAACTTCAGATGTTCTCACTGATTGAGTCATGACACTGCATTGAACCTGATCTTAACTATTTCTGCAGTGTGGGTTATGTTAGCTTACTTATCTTCTGGCATCTGAATGTGTAATCTTTGTTATCATTGTTGTAAAGATTGGGGTAGTTTTCCCACATGAGGGACAAACTGAACTGAATGAATGTTGTATTGCAGGTGGAACAGCAGTTTTCTCACAAATTCACAGTGACGGTTGTTCGAGCCGAGAGCGTCACCAAGGGAGCGCTCGGTGACCTGTGTGAGTCTTTTTTGCCCTTGCTCTTGTGTAAAACAGATATTTATTTAACATGCTGCATGTACGTAGTAGCAACGTGCATGTGTTCATGCTATTTTCATTGTAATTGTTTCTATGAGTAGAAAATACCCACCAACACAAATGTACTTATGCTGAGCAGGGGGATACTTTGACTTTGGTATTCTCTGCTATTCATTAACACTGTTGAATATGTGTGTGTGTGTGTGTGTGTGTGTGTGTGTGTGTGTGTTTGTGCAGTGGACACCCCAGATCCATATGTGGAGCTCTTCATCCCAACAGCCCCAGAGAGCAGAAAGAGGACCAAGCACATAGACAATGACATCAATCCAAAGTGGAACGAAACCTTTAACTTCATATTAGACCCCAACCAGCAGAATGTCCTGGAGGTAAGACCTGCCTTTTATCGTCTAGCAAAGACTATACCAGTGCAGGATTACAAGCAGGGATGTAATGGAGCGCAAACCCACATAAATACAGTGTGCCGTTTTTACCCTGATATGATATAATATGAGATAAATAGTATCATCATAGAAGCTAAGATGGCAATAACCCCGTGGTACATTAGTTCAGGGTCATCTGAGGGGTAAATAAATTGAGGCTTTTCTGTTTCATTGTTTAACATCTTGGTTAGAAGACAGGTTGTTCAGGTGAACTTGAAATGTATTAAATGATTTAACTGCTGATGTTTATTCCACTCAGTTAACGTTAATGGACGCCAATTACGTGATGGATGAGACGCTCGGGACTGCGTCCTATGATATCACCAAGCTCAGCGTAGGCCAGACAAAGATGGAGTCTTTCCTCATTGGCAAAGTAAGATATTCAACCCCAGCTGACTCTCTGGCAGTTTCACTATCATTTAACTCATGTTGTGTTTGTTGTGGCATTGTTATCACTAATACAAACTGAAAGATGCCCGACTTCTGAAGAAATTAAATGTGTGAAGATAACAGGGAAATGTAGATGGCATTTTCCATTTGATATAATCTTACATATGATATAATATGGCATATTGCCAGCAGAAGATATGGCGGATGTGTATGGAGACACAGCACACCAATTCTAGAATTAAAAAAAAGAAGTTTAAAGCAATTATTTGCATTTCAATCGGGGCGGAGCTAGAGGGGTGGCCGGGTTACCACTGAAGTCATTCATTAATTCTCATACCAGTGGCATCTTTATTTGATCCTTGAGCTGAGTCTTGTGTCCAGTGTCCATGATGTGCAGCCTTCTCTTTGTTTTGCCA